TTAGTTTTTTTAGTTTTTCTCAATTAAAAAAAACTAAAAAAACTAAATGGCTGGACGTTTAGTTTTTTTAGTTTTTTTAGTTTTTTTTTTGAAAAGAAACAGTATCAGAAGGGCTAGACATTTAGTTTTTTTAGTTTTTCTCAATTAAAAAAAACTAAAAAAACTAAATGGCTGGACGTTTAGTTTTTTTAGTTTTTTTGAATAAAAAGAAACTAAAAAAACTAAAAAAAACTAAAAAAACTAAATGTCCAGGAGTCTAGCCCTGTAGTTTTACAAAGAAAACTAAAAAAACTAAATGGCTGGACGTTTAGTTTCTGTGCGAACTGACACGCGCAACGAAATAAATGCGGAACGTCTCTCTAACATATATATATATATATATTTATGCATCATGTGCGCCCCCCCCTGTCCACAAGCGCATAGAACCATACCTGAAGTCAGACGAACGCAAATTGCAGGATTTAAGGGACGTGTCATTGGCTTGGCCCTTGCAAAGCTAAGGGGTGAAGTGGGCCAGACGTATGCCACAATACAGGGTGTTCTGAAACTCGTGGCTGTTTCCGCTGGGGTGCATGTTCTGGTCTGAACCCACCAACCAATCTACTGATGGGCTGATGGTATCAAAGGCCATTCACGGTAACAGCTTTGGCAACTGAGACTCCATGATTCAAGGTGCTGGTGCCCATCCAGACACAGTTGAGGTGCGATGTACATCGATCTAGAGTCAGCGGTATGTAGAGCTTTGGGCGTGGGATTCCGGCGGCTTCTAAGGATCACGGATGCTGGGAATGCTGAGCTGCGGAATCTCTTGAGAAGTGGCAAAGAGGCCCTTAAGACCATTGAGGAGCGGGTCCGTTACTGGCGGGTGAAAGTGGGTCTTCGAGGGTGCCTGGTGAGGGCAATAATAATATTCAACACAAGTTGTGTGCACCCTCCACACTGCCAGCACCCTCTTTGGTGAGGAGAGCATTCTGAACCTTCGAGACCAGCTTTCCAAGTTGCGTGTCCATGCGCAGAAAGCTTCGCAAGAAGTGCGTGTCATCATGACCGACGTGGAGAAACAGTTCGAGGAGCTTCCAACAAAAGTTGGATCAACGTTGACACACCCGGTTTGGTGGCGCAACGATGAACAATATGCAAGATGTCATGGCGCATTTATTTATTGAGCACCTCAGCTCTTCAAAGAACAAAGAAATGAGGGATACCGCTCTATATACATATTGTGCAACAACTTGTTTGCCAGATGTTGCGTGTGCCCCAAGCATGTCTTTGACCTCACGAGTTCGTCGGTATCGCCACGGATGGAGACCCTTCTTCTCGCAGCTGCAGGACTGTGCGGCAAGCGTGGACTTCATTGCCACGCTCCGACGGATGCAGCTTCAGAAGGAGACCCCGGACGCAGCAAGTCGGCCCTTTTGCATTGTTCTGTCCTTTTTGGTGTTCGTTGGAATGATTCGGACAGGGGTGTATAATATATCACCGATGTTTTGGAGGAGCTGAGGGGTGTAGAGAAGGTAAAGATTTGAAGGGTCGCAGGAAGATGAACTCAAGATAACTCAAGTATACCACTGACAAAAGTGAACTCGCCCCGGGTAGTCACCCTGAATTGAAATGGAGGGATCTGGAAAAATTAAAGTGGACATCCAACAACATGGTGACATATCCTTGACATGTGCCGTGCTATTGGTGAGCCATGCTGAACCCCAATTGGCTCAGCTTCTCATTTCCAGACTTGTTCATTGAGCACTGGATGCCTGTTCAGCTGGCACGAAAGTGACCGTTGTGTGATCTTGTGTGGGTCGCATTGTTCAGTTCCAGCATTTCTCACTGGTGGGCGATTCCTATTGAGCACGAAAGGGGGCACGGCCTAGGAAGGGCTTGGGGTATGAAGAGACAAAAGGAGACGCGGTCAGTGTCGCAGACGATGTAGCATAACCCGTCCCCCCGTCGTAGCAAACAATCGTGGTGGCAGTAGTGGTGGTGGTGGTGGTGGTGGTGGTGGTAGTAGCAGCAGCAGCAGCAGACAAGTCAAGATGGGTGAAAGAACTGTTTACTATTCCGGGAATAATTTGACCAAAGCTTTTTATTCCGTCCCATTATACTGATTTGGATGCGACATTCTCGTGTTTTGGATTAAAGCCAGGGTGACTGTTTGTCAAGCCTCCAGGAGACTCCATCAAGTTGCTTTGAAAAGATAGAGGTTTTCCCCTTTGCTGGGTCCTTAGCAGCTGGATCTATCGCTTGCAGGCGCATCAGAAGGCGCGTCAGGATCTCCAATCAAGGCTTGAGCAAGCGACGCTGGGAGAGCAGAGCGGGGCCAAGCATGGGCCGGAAGGCACACCCTGCAAGTCTGATGCAGTGGTAAAGCTGCAAACACTTTGGAGGCGTGATTTGTTTGGCGCATGTTGCAAACTCACATGGGAAGCTGCCTGATCGTAGATGAGCATTTCAATCATCGGGTCTCACAGGATGAAGAGGAGATAGATTCACCTGAAGTGGGGACTCATGGACCACCCACCTCCGCTGTGCGTCGTGGGTCGACCCGTCGGGTCGTTTGGGTGTTTGTAGGGAAGGAGGCTGCACGAAGAGGAGCAAGTCCAGTGGAGCATGCCCCTTTGTATATTTGTTAAACCCTCAAGTTCTCCAGTGTTTAGGCCTGCATTTCCCAGAACATTTTCTTGAAGGGACCCTAAGTCCCAGCCAACTGCAAGTCAACATCAAGAGTAAGAGTGATGTCAATTGATACGAAGTGAGGCTTGCTTGCATTGATGTGAGTGCGAAACCAGTCCTCCAGTGATTTCCAGTGTATGATGAGACGTCCCCGGTAATTAAGACGACCGCGTTCGGAATCGTTTTTATCCACAGAGTTTGGCTCGAACGCACATGCCCTGTCGGGACTGCGGGCTCCTTTGCGGGGAGCACGAGCCATTGTGCACGTTCTGCCGGACTCGTAACCGTTTCTGGTTCGTGCTCGACGACTTGCCGGTTCAGCTACGTTCCTGGGCCGTGAACAGCCTCCGAATCTGGACAAGTATCCTTCAGGAAGAGGGCGACAAGCACCAAGAGCACGTTCGCTTGCAGGAAGAAGCCGGCAAGACCACTGCACCCAAGGCGAAGAGCCCGGCTTCCACAGTTTCTCCTGGTCCGGGGAGAGCAGAGTCGGCTGAGGGAGAGGAACGCCCCGACAAGACTTGGGTCAAGCCGAAACGTGAAGAAGAGGAAGCAAGGAGCCCCGTCAAGAAGGAGTTCAGTCCGAAGGAGGCCGAGGAGGAAGGCAAAGAGACCAGCTCGTCGAAGGCACATCATCGAGAACCTGATCAACGGTCGAGGAAGAGGAGCAGGACCCGAAGCAGGGGTCACAGAGACAGGAAGAGGGCAAGCAAGACCCGTTCGAGGAGTCGGAGAAGGCGAAGGAGGAGTTCGAGAGGTGAGGCAGCGGGTGAGGCCACCCTACGTGAGCGGGAGGCGGCACCAGCAGAGAGGAAAGCCAAACCTTCAGTTCGACCACCACGTACGCCATCGAGATCACCTCCGGGGAGGCACAATCCTCCTTCAAGGACCCCGCCTATCATCAGGCCAGCGGTCAAGAAGTGGGACGGAAGGCCACCTCCGTGGAAGTTGCAGCCAAAGTACTTTGGTGAAAACAAGGGCGCAAAGAAGAGAGAGAGGCACTGGTATCGGGCTCAGGGAGACGAGAGCTGAGGACCAGCATAGGCGATGCCACCTAGGCGTCGGCCGGCAGGAGCATTGGAAGAAGCACCTCCTAGGCGGGGAGGGGCAGTGAGGAGGAGGCCAGCCGCAAGGGAGGCTGGTGAAGCAGAGGCTGAAGGAGAGTTGAGGGGTGAGGTACTACGCCTTGCCTCTACCGGAGCGAAGTTTGAGAGAGGAGAGAAGACGAAATGCGAGGAGGTTCCTTTGGAAGTGTTTCGACGGGGCTTGCCGATATGCCTCGAGGGCGTCTATTGGGGCGCCCAAGCGATGGTGGCAGGTCTGGTCGAGAGCCTTTACAACAGGACACCCAAGGATGTGGAGTTGCACGTGAAAGTTCAAGGCACTACAGAGGAGAACTTGCTCAGATGGGCCACCGGCCATCCCGGCCTGAAGCTCAGGGTTCATCTCTGCGGGGATTCATGCCCCGAGAAGCTCGAAGCGGAGGACCTCATCCATGGGATGACCGTTTCAAAGAGGACAGGCGAGGACGATCCATGGATGGCAAACTTGATCGAGGAGGTCGCAAAGCCGGAGAGCTCAGGAGCAGCCCCCCTCCTGGTCGGGGAGAGGGAAGAAGGAAGGGGCAAAGGGAGCAGTGCAAAGGCAGCTGCAGAAGAGGAGAAGTCCGAGGCAAAGAAGAAGAAAAAGAAGAAAAAGAGGAGCGAAGAGCGAGGCAGGAGTCCCGAGAAGAGCAAGGAGAAGATCGACCTGAAGTCAGGGGCTCGCAAGGAATTGAAGGAGGTGTTTGGAGGGACAGGCCTGGACCCCGACCCCAGGTTCAGGCGTCGCTATGCCGTGAAGGCCCAGAAGAAGACCAAGAAGAGAAAGAGGGACTCCTATTCAACGGGGAGTTCAAGCAGCGGCAAGACAACGACCTCCGAGTCCGTGGAAGTGTTCGAGGAGCAACAGAAAGTCCGCAGGCTCTCCAAGCGGGCACCGGGGGTCCTAGCGGCCCTAGCAATGAGGGAGATGCAGACCAGCTTGCTTACAGCAACAGGTGGCATATGGCAACAAGATCAAACAGCAATACAGCCCTTGGCGGTCCAGTATTTCCGCCAATCGTTGGCTCCTCGTCTTCAAGGCGGACCTGGTCGCGAAGGATTGACCCTTTGCTGGGCCATCGATCTGGCCTTACAAGGAAGGATGGCAGAATGCGTCGACGCTCTGGTGCAACGGCTGAAGTCAGTCGAAATGGTGTCACAGGGCTCCGCTTGGCAAATAGCGCAGCGGCTCGAGGTATTGCCTCCGGAAAGACCCCTTCTTTCCTCAAGGGGGGAAGCAAAAGAGGCAATCAGAGAACAAAAAGAAGAACAGAAAACTCGCAACGAAGCATCCAAGGGGAAGAGCAAGTCAGACACCTGGCATTGGCGAGATCCTGGCAGCGAAGGAAAAGGAAAAGAAGCGAAGGGCAAAGGAAAGAAGGGAAAGGACAAAGGAGATCGAGGAGATCAGAAGAAGTGACTGTCCAGGTTTCGCCAAAGCTGGATGCCGGAGGGAGTTCGCCTTCCAACTATGAGGCCCCCTTTGAAGAGCAGGGCACGTTTTTTCCATCAGCCTCGAGGCCGAGCCGTCACGTCGATGGCACAGTGCTTGAGGCATCAGCAGGCGCCGGGCCGGGTAATCTGGCCGATTCGCGCCGTTCAGCGGATGAGACCTCGTTGATGACCTTGTCTGCAGAAAAAGTTTGCATGCGGCCGCCGGTGGTAGGTGACAGTTTGATTCAGGTTGTTCCCTGGTTGGTGAGCGAGTTGGTTCATCTTTGTCCAAAAGTAGGCTGGACATGCAATGCAAGGCCCAGCCCAAGGGTGATGTGTTTCCATTGCCCACCAACACGTTGCACCTGGGGAACTGCACGAAAGCTGAGCCGGATGTCATTGGAGTGGTTAGGGGAATGTGCATGGCGCTGAACCTTTTTTACGGGGTGGCGGCTGAGAACGACTTCCACCCTACTTCTCTTCAGGTTGAGGCAGTGAGGCATTTAGCTAGGGAGGCTCAAGTGGCAGTCGATTGGCCAGAGAGATTGGAGCAGACTTCGTGGCAGGACTTTTTTCATTTGAAGACCATTGACTACTGTGGAGACGAGGTCCTTTGCGCACAGTCCACCAGTCGGGCCAATTTGGCGCCAGCTATGCCCTCCGAGATTGCCTCTGTAGACCTGGCTGAGGTGTGCGAGCTGGGGTGCAAACACTATGTTGAGCACTTCACGGAGTATCTCCTACCCGGGGAGATGCAGAAGGCCATGAAAGGGCCTCGGGTACTGGTGCACGACGATCATTGGCAAGAAGTCTGCGAAGGCCTGACAAGGAATGGAGTGTGCACTATCCTCTCCAAGTCTCAGGTCCACCACATTGATGGCCAGCCTCTCCTGAACGGCCTTTTTGGCGTCAAGAAGGACGAAGTGGAAGGAGCGACTCCCATCCACCGCCTGATCATGGACCTGAGGCCTTGCAACAACGTCTGCCGAGGACTTGAGGGAGACGTTGCAACGCTCCCTAGTTGGGCGACTATGGGACCACTGCAGCTGATGCCTACAGAGGACCTGGTGGTATCTTCTGAAGATGTGCGCTGCTTTTTTTATATATTCCGGGTGCCCAGTGAGTGGCACCCTTTCCTGGCCTTCAACAAACCACTACCTCGGAGTATGTGGCCAGGGAACGAGGGACCATACTACATTGCTTCGCAGGTGTTGCCTATGGGGTTCAAGAACTCCGTCAGTATAGCGCAACATGTTCATAGGAACATTGTGAGGATGGCTTCAAACAGGACCGGTGAGGGACTTCGACCTGAACAGGAGGTCCGGAAGGACAGACCGTTCTCCTCTTCTTCAACACTTCATCGGATCTACCTGGACAACTTCGATCAATTGGAGAAGGTGCCCAAGGATTCTTGTGCACTCCTGAGCGGGGAGTGTAGCCCAGGCATTGTAGCTCTCAGGGCTGAGTACGAAGCATGGGGAGTGCCACGTCATCCCAAGAAAGCGGTGTCTCGATCTTTGGTGGCTGAAGTCCAGGGTGCGATCATCGACGGAAGAATGGGGATCGCCTATCCCAAGCCCTCCAAGGTCTACAAGTACACGGCCCTATCAATCCTGTTCCTTCAGGAGTCCATGAGCAGTCAGAAGCAAGTCCAGGTCATTGCAGGGGGCTTGGTATACTTGAGCATGTTCAGGCGTCCTCTCCTAGGAAGCCTGAACCATATATGGAGGTTCATCGAGGAGTTCCGTGGCTACCCCCCAGTGATTAAGCTCCCCATTCCGGATGGAGTCAAAGTTGAGGTGGCCAGGTTCCTATGCCTAGTTCCTTTGGCGAAGTTGGACTTCCGGTTGAACATCTCCGCAGAGGTCACAGCCAGCGACGCGTCGACGACGGGGGGAGGCTTGACAGTCAGCACGGGCTTGACTGGGTTCGGAGTAGCGGCATCGGAGACGAGCACGAGGGGCGACCTAGCAGAACCTCATGATCTTCATGGAGTACTGACCATTGGCCTTTTTGATGGTATAGGAGCCCTTCGGGTAGCAGCAGATGCTTGTGGGCTAGCCGTGGTAGGACACATCAGCGTCGAGGTGAACAAGGCAGCCAGCCGAGTGCTTGAGAGCAAGTTCCCAGCCACGGTGTTCGTTGCAGAAGGTGTGGAAGCAGTCACCGAGGAGGAGGTGCAGCGTTGGGCCTGCCAATTTTCTCAGGCGTCGCTGGTCCTCATTGGGGCTGGCCCCCCATGTCAAGGAGTGAGTGGACTCAGCGTTGACCGCCGGGGAGCGTTGCGAGACCATCGCAGCTCCTTATTTACCCATGTGGCACGCATTCGGGACATGGTCAAGCAGAAGTTCACGTGGGCCCAGGTTTGGTACCTTGCCGAGAATGTGGCCAGCATGGATTCCCATGATCGGGAGGTCATGACAAAGTCCTTTGGTGACCTCCCCATACAGATTGACGCCAGTGGTGTTTCCTTAGCACGCCGTCCAAGGCTGTATTGGTGCGACTGGGAGCTTAGGTCGGGCGAGGGTGTGTCAATGGGCCCCCTTGAGGGCGCAGGTGATTTGAGGTTCCGGAAGATTGAGCTCCTGGCACGGGTGAGGGTCCAAGATTACTTGCAACCAGGCTGCAACAAGGCTTCAGATGAACCCTTTCCTACATTCACAACCTCAAGGCCAAGGAGCTATGCAGGCCGGAGGCCAGCAGGCCTTGACAAGTTGAGCGCTCAGGAAAAGTCATGGTGGGAGGCTGACTCCTACCGCTTCCCGCCGTACCAATACCAGGAGAAGTTGATGGTCACTGACGCCGCGAAGCAACCGAGACTTCCCGACATTCAGGAGAGGGAGGTCATCATGGGGTTCCCTAAAGACTTTACAGTACAGTGCATGGCAAAGCAGTGGCAAGGTTCACTTGAACACTTGGACGAGAGAAAGACTTTGATCGGCAATTCATGGAATGTGACCGTAGTCACGTGGTTGATGGCGCAACTTGGGGGCCAATTAGGTCTTTGTCCATTTCTCTCACCTCAACAAGCAGTCGATCGAACAGCTCCTGGATCATCGAGCGAACTGGCAGGGCTGCTTTACCGCCCTCCTATGCAGCCGGGGAGGAAGAAGAGCTCACCAGTCGGGGAGCAGAGGTTGGTGAAGAAGCTCCTCAACCTGGTCAGCCTCAAAGGAGAGGACATCATGTTGCAAGCGCCGTCGGAAGACACCCTACGCTACCACAGGCTGAGAGCTAGCCTTCCTGCAAAACTGTGGAAGTGGCGGAGGGGATGGCGCTGGTCTGGCTCGCCGGAGCACATCAATGTCCTCGAGCTCAGAGCAGTGCTTACAATTATCCGATGGCGAATTCTCAAACGACGTGCTTTCAGGACGAAGATGGTGCATATGATCGACAGTCTCGTGTGCTTGCATTGTTTGGCTCGGGGCCGGAGCAGCAGCCGGAAGATGAGGAGGACCCTGAGCCGAATTGACGCTTTACTCCTAGCTTCGGGGAGTCATGGAGTATGGGCGTATGTCCATACTTCGCAAAACCCAGCTGACCGCCCATCGAGGCGGCCTGTAAAAAAGAAATGGTGAAGAAGTCCAGGTCGCACCTGGAAGGTAGGAGTAAAGCAGATAGGCAAGCACAAAGACGACGATTGGGACCACTTCGAACTTTGACCGTTCAAAGCAAAACGAGAGCACGTTATGACAAAGCCATGGAGCGCTACCGCAACTTCTTGCGAGAAGAAAATCGTCCATATCCTCGAGACGCTGCAGGCCAAGACTATGTCCTTTCGCACTACATCGAACATCTTTGGGAGACAGGAGAGGGGAGAGCACTCGCCTGTGACTCCGTTGCAGCGGTACAAGACTTCCACCCGTTTCTTCGTGGACATTTGCCTAGTGCATGGCGTCTTCTGAAGACATGGTCCGCAAATGAACTACCCAATCGTGCACCCCCGCTGCCCTTGGAGGCCCTCCATGTTCTAGCTGGATATGCCTTGTTTAGCGACCAACCACTGTTCGCACTGTCCTTGCTTCTTGGGTTCCATGGGCTCCTACGCACCGGGGAGCTACTGGGAGTACAAAAGGCGCATGTGGTGCAGTCAGGTCCTCGGAGTCCAGCCGTGATCTCACTCGGGTTCACGAAAGGAGGTAAAAGGGCAGGAGCCGCAGAAAGTGTCACAATTCGAGAAGAAGACACTTTGCGAAGACTTTGGCGATGGTTGAGTTCACCGCACACCCCAACAACACTTTGTGGAACACCTCATTCTTGGAGAAAGACCTTCAATGAGTGCCTCTTAGCTTGTCAACTTGACAGTTATGACTTCAGGCCTTACAGCCTCAGGCGAGGCGGGGCCACGATGTATTTTGGCCGACACGGCTCGTTGGACCGGCTCCTGATTCAAGGGAGGTGGGCCTCCAGCAAAACGGCCCGAATTTACATTAACGAAGGTCTAGCTGTACTCGCTGAGCTTAAGCTGACTTTTAATGGCACAGCACAAGCCTACAGAAGACAATTTCAGAAGTCTCTCCGTGTCCCGCTTCAAACTCTTGAGCTTCACCCCAAGGGTGGGCCAGGGGGACGTGGAAGGAAGCAGAGACCAAAGCGCAAAACGCGCAAATAAGGGAGCTTCGATTTCATTTTTGGAATTCAACTCCGCCGGCGGAAGAAGAGAAAAAGATCAAGGGATGATCTCAAGGTAGGGTGGTGGCCCGGATGTCCCCCGGTCTGGCGGGGCCCGGGACCACCCTGGACTCTTGGCTCACGCTCACCCCGGCCTGGCGGGGGAGCCGT